TATATGTATATGTATATGTATATGTATATGTATATGTATATGTATATGTATATGTATATGTATCTATATGTATATGTATATGTATATATATGTGTATATGAGGTTTTCGCGGGTGTTAGTATGTAGGTCTTTGGTTATTCGGGTTTTCTCCCGCGTAAAATTGGAGATGTCTTTATATATAAAAAACTGTTTATTAAAACAAATCCTACAATAAAATGTGAAATTAAAAAACTAAATAAAGATCTCAGCTCCTTCTTGGAAGTGTCCATTCAAATGACTTCACTTCTTTTCTTACCATAAATTACAGATGCTGCTCCTATGTAGGCCGAAGAGGCAATGGTCCTCAAGCAATTTCTATTGGCAAGAATTGTGATAAGTTTGGAATTGTTGTTCATGAATTGGGACATGTAATAGGATTTTGGCATGAGCACACAAGACCAGACAGAGATGATCATGTCGCCATCATCAGAGAGAACATTCAACCAGGTGAGACAATTCTAGGATGGTATCCCAGATATTTTAGGCTAAAGTCACAGATTAAAACTGCCATCAGGATTCAGCTTTTGAGAATTGTAGTTCTTCAACATCTAGAACAGGGGTGTCAAACTCCATTTCATTGAGGACCACATCAGGACTGTGGTTGACCTCGGGGGGTCAGGCAGGTGTGGCCAATCGGGTGGGCATGGCCAACTCTGTGTACATGGCCAGCTTGATGCTACTCCCCAAACTGTTGGCATGTTTCCTTTATGCACTGTGTACACTGGCCTGATCTTTCCTCTTCACACTGGGTAAAGCTGGACGTCCCTGCAGGCCAGATCTGACCACATCATGGGCCGGATGCAACCTGCGGGCCTTGTAGTTTGACACCCCTTATCTAGAAGGTATCTGATGTGCCATGTGGGAATGGAGCATCTAATTATTGGTCTAATATTTTGGTGACTAAAAATTTGTTAATTTTTGTAAAAAACTGCTTTGGATATAAGCATTAAATCTTGTAGATTAAACTTGTAATTCTCCTAATGAAATGAGCATTGTTTTAATTGGTTCCCAACTTCCTTATTTGCTTCTCTTCCTCTAAATGGTTGTTCAGTTCAGGGGTCCTCAACCTCTGGTTCTTGGACAAGCATCAGTCGCAGCATTCCAGAAACTGGAAGCGAGGCCCCATTCAAAGGATACAAGGAAGCGCACGAAACCATGTCCCCTCTGGTTCATTGAAAAAAACTTTCTCCGTGGAACTGGTCCCTGGTGCCCAAAAGATTGGGGGCCACTGGTCTAGTTGGTTGATATCGTTCTGTTTATTACTGACTTATAAGACATGAATATTGGATCTCTAAGATACTGTATTTTTATTGTGGCTGTAATTATTTTAATTATTTGGATTGTTCTTTTTTGGTGGGGTTATTTATTTCTACCTGCCCAGAAACCCAGTAGTGGGATGAGTGGCCATAGAAATTGTTTATGTAAATAAATGAAGAAGGATACTTCCAAGAATGGAGTACTGCGAATGGGGAAAAAATCACCTAGATGAGGACAATTATTGAAGAAATTATAGAAATAAATGTACATAATGATAATCCCCAATAAAGATTAAAACAATCTTTAACAGTCAGGTCTCTAGAAATGATAAAATCTTCTTTTACCAATCCAGTCTAACTCCTGTTGACTTCACTAATACATCCATATAGTTTTTGACAACAGTTATACAGTAGTTTGTCAGTAGCACCTTCAGGGATATTTTTTCCCTCCTAATCAAGCTTGTAGACCTGAAGTTTTCTGGTGGGCTGGCCATCTAAGTACCAATCAGATTTGATCTTGCTTGCCTTTTTGAGATCAACCGAATTCAATTAGGTACTGCTCCTTATAATGCCTGGGCTCTGCTGTATTGTTAATTAATAATATGTGCTATAAAATTGCAACCAATGTCTTTATGTTTCCACAATGCATTGTAGAAAATAAGAAAGTAAGCGTGGAATAATCAAGTCAGAGGGTGACAGGAAATAATAGTTTTCTTAATATGCTGCATACCAAGATGACATTTCAGACAATTATTCCATCAGTAATTCAGTTCATGAGCAAACAGGTACATTGTTATTGCTGTTTAAAGGGGAAAAAAATGAGAAAGCTGCTTTTACCTGTGCACATATATCACAATTAATTCTGTGTTAGCCTTTGCAAACAAACTATTTATATCTACCCATAATATATTATAATTTTCCTATGAAAGGAGTTATGGATTTCCCCCCCTTTCTTCCTTTTGAAAAAAAATGTTTGAAATCTTCTGAATTACAGGCCAGGAGTACAACTTTTTGAAGATGGAGCCTGGAGAAGTGAATTCTCTGGGAGAAGCGTATGATTTTGATAGCATTATGCACTATGCCAGGAACACCTTCTCAAGGTTGGAGTCACAGGTTATACCTTTTGTCTTATAATTCTATTCTTCAATGTGAATATTCTGTGTATGTTGTTCCGATGTAGGGAGTTTTCAGAATTGCTTTGTGATGTTGCACCTCTTTCCTAGGTGCCCAAATGTATTTTGTGGCTTTATTGAAGGTTTCATGGTATTTTTTTTTTGGGGGGGGGGGAGTGAATAATGATTGTTTTAAGGGAAGTTTCTTAAACTGAAGTTTTGTGTCAGATTCTTTCCAAATACTGTTCTGGAAAACCTGCCCAATTTGAGAAATGATAGAGGAATGCACTGTTTTTACAATTTTAGTTTATAGATATTGCTTTCAGAACCGTTGGAATCTGACTTGACTATGGAAGTAACAAACTGAAGAATGTTTCCTAGAATGCTAGAAAGAAGAAAAAAGGCTTTAAAAGCTATGCTTAATATCTTTAAAAAGTATTATATAGAAAAAAATAATCTCTGTGCTGATAATAGAAACACTCCAGCTATTATATGATTTAAAAACTTGTAGTTTGAAGATAATATATCTTTTAATCATGTAAGAGAAATAATTTGTCCATTTAAAATTAATTATTTTGGAAATGATTTGTGTAATTACAAAATGAATCAACCCATTCTTATTTATGCAGGTCTATCTTTTGCATACAATTATATTACATTTATTTCTTCTTCTGAATAGAGACATGCTTTTGGTTTCTTCTATCCCTTGGATAGCCTCTTGCGTGTTGCATGTTGATTGGTTTTAATATTAGTAATCTTTTACAATAATTAGTTTGTTCCAATTTGCAACACTGCCTCTTTTGATTAAGGATCTGAAAGCCTTTTCTGATGATGTCCCTAAGGTTTGCTGTTATTTTAAATAAATATTTTAAGTATTCTTGTCACTGTAATGAAAATTTCAACAGAACAATGCATTAATCTCACACACATCAAAAGCTGTGAAAATTATTGTGCGCACAATCTATAGTGAGGTTTTGAAAAAGCAAATGAAGACCTTTGGTTCAGCTTTTAATGAACTAATTAACAATACGAAAACCAATAATTGTATTGTGGATTTTTTTTTTGTTCCTAATATTCTGTTGAAATAAGTATAATTAAAATAATTGGCCAAGATCAAGATGATATGCTGTTAGTACAAGGCCTTGAACAGAACAGTTTCTTTACCTATTGTGTGAATGTCAGGAACAAGCCAGACTAATCAAATAACCATGTTATTATAATTGTTGACTTTTCCATTTCACTGTCTGCTTTTTGTTACTAAGGATATCTTATATAAATTCAAAACTCTTGATATGAAGAATAAGTTGGTTTTTTTTTTGTTTTTTTTGCTTCTTAATTATTTTTAGGGGTATGTTTCTGGATACCATACTTCCTTCCCGTGATGATAATGGGATCCGACCGGCCATTGGTCAGCGCACACGATTAAGTAAAGGAGATATTGCACAAGCCAGAAAACTGTACAGATGTCCAGGTATTGAATTGTAGAGAATAAGCGTGAAGAAGCATAATCTAATATGATTAATCGGATCTAACTATAATTCTGAATTAAGGTGTTTTCTCATCTGCTTCTATTCAGGCAGTTACTTAAGGTGAGATCATAAACATTCTTAAAGCATTAAGGGATCAGTGGCTTGAATCTGAGTTTACCATCTCAAGAGGCAGTTCTGTGCTTTCCTAATGTAGCTGTTTACTTGTTGGAGATGACAGTGGGGAAAAAACATGATTCATTCTATCATTTCTTATTTAAGGTAGTGTACTCTAAATCCAGATCTATATTTAGACTGATGATGCATTTGTTTAGCATACTTCAACAGGGAAATCTAGTTGCTCTGCAGAACAGTAGTGCTAGGTTTTTTTTTAAAAAAATGTAATGAGTCATAAAATAAGTACAACATTTGATCAAGAAATCTAATTGTAGGAAGCCTTGAAACTTGATTCTTTGGCTCTTACAGAAAAATTGATTCATGTGGCCCTAAAATCTTGGTAAATTCCTTCCTTACTGCATTTTCTGAGCTATGTAATTGGCTAGAATTCCTCCATGTTTCAATTTCTTTTCCTGCCTATGAAGTTCTATCTGATAGTACAAGGAACCAAGTAGGTGATATTCATTTTGAAATGGAGTTTTTTTTTTAATGGGTGCCAGTTAGGGAGGGACATTAAACGAACTATTCCCAAGACATGCAGTATATATTTGAATGTATGTCCATCTATGTGTCTCCCCAATAACTTCCACTGATTTTACCTTTTCTAAATGCTTCACAAGCTGCATTATGATGCAACTATGTCAAAACCAGAGAATATGCTGGAAAAATTGCATACGGCAGGCATAACATGACATCCAATTCATGTTCAACTAATACATGTTATTAAGAAATACATACACACACACACACACACACACACACACAAACACACATGATAATCTATAAACTAATGCTCCATCTCTATCATTCATAAACAAGATCCTCATTCATATTACATTACATCTTTAATAATTTCATAATTGAAATTTGAAAAAAAAAAATCTTAATTCTACATATGTCAAGTCATATGAGATGACTTTCATACCGCACTCTAGAATTGACTTTCTTTTGGGCTTTAATGTCCTACGTCTTCTGGCATTTTATGTATAGAAGTCCTCAACTTACAACCACAATTAAGCCCAAATTTCCATTGCTAAGCGAGACCATTGTTAAGTGAATTTTGCCCCATTTTATGATCTTTCTTGCCACAGTTGTTAAGTGAATCATTGCAGATGTTAAGTTAGTAACATGGCTGCAATATGAATCTGTCTTCCCTGCTGACTTTGCTTATCAGAAAGTTGACAAAGGTGATTACGTGACACTGGGGGGACACTGCAACCATCACAAATATGAACCAGTTACCAAATATCCAAATTTTGATCGCGTGACCTGGGGATGCTGCAACAGTCATAAGTGGGGGAAAGGGTTATAAGTCACTTTTTTCAATGTCATTGTAACTTCAAATGGTCACTGAATGATTGGTTGTAAGTTGAGGACTACCTGTGTTGCCAGCTTGTTTTGGACTTCCAAATTATTATGCCACACAGTAAAAAAACAAAACCTGAGGGAAAATAATCTTTTAAATCTGTACCCCAGGTGAGCATTTTGGACTGGCCACTTCATATTGCAATTAACCCACAGATGAGCTTTGCTGGTTGTCTTTCAATGGTTTTATTGCTTGTCATTCTGCTGGTTTTGTTTCTTTTCTGTCGCTAAGAAGTTTTTCAGACTAGAAACAAAGTTTAATGCAGCTTTAATTCTACAGAAGCCAGCATCTGGAAACCCAAGACACTAAACCTCTGCTGTTTAGTGGAATTAGTAATGATTGCAGAGTTAAAAATAAACTGTTGATAATTAGCTATGGTATTTACTTTGAAAATGTCTAGTGCTGAATAAATTATTTAATATGCAACTCATATTTGATTAGGATGCCATGTGATGCAGGCTTGGAGTATAGAGTGAAAGGGAAAATATTTCAGGATAAGCCAATGATTCTTTTTCTGCAGCTATGGAAAGATGTTACTTTGCTCTATTAGACATTTTCACATGGCATTACCGATACTTTCCTTGCATGTTTAGAATGAACTTTAAAATTGTTATAGTCCTCTATTATATATTACTATATTATGTATATATATATGACATTATATAAATTTTTGCCGTGCTGTCATGTTTAAATGTAGGTAAGACTGAATGTAACATTAGCCAGAGAGCAATATCACCAGCCTATCTTAATCCAATTGGTGATCTTTTTTGAGTTAACATCTAAAGGTTTTGAAAATATCTTATAATTAATTTGCTTTTAATTATTCCTGTGACTGGCCTCCTGCACTGAGATAAGGAAATGCAGGTCTCAAATATGAGGTATTCAGAAGACATTCAGATCTACCAAAAAAGCCACTTGTTGATTGAGGCCCATAAAGATAATTAAGAAATTGTGTAGTAGCAGAAGTGTCTGCAGGGTATGATAAAAAAGAGGAAAGGATGTGATTGAAGCTCCACCTGTGACATTCATGTATCAGGGAGCAGGGAATGGATGGTCCAAAGCGTTGATACACTCCTCATTAACACAACTGAAGCTCAGCACAAAGAACCAAGAAATACACCAGCTTTAGACCTGGAAACTTATCAAAGAGAGATCCAACCATGAACTGAGAAATTTCCTGATGGTAATAACAATAAATTAGTGGAACTGCTTGCTTCCAGAAGTTGTGGAGGTTGTTGGACAGTCATTTGTCCAAAATTGTATAGGGTCTCCTGCTTAACTAGAAGTTTGGATTAGAATACCCCCAAGGTCCCTTTCAACGTGGTTATTCTGTTACTATTACTGTTGTGTCAACTGGGGTAGGGTAAGAATAAAATTTTAAAAAATTGCAACACAAGAGAAAAATAAATATATTCATACAGTGCTGCTGAAACAAAATATCAGATTAGTAAAATAGGAAATAATGTATCAGTAACTAATTGTCAATATAGCAATGAAATGAAAGAGATAATGCCAAACATTATGTCATTACTAGGACTCCCCTATCTAAGTAGTGGTTCCAAAACAGACTAATGCGTAGCCCAGGTAAGGGGGAGGGAAAGCATGCTGCACCATAAGGCTTGTACTTGCCTATAGGAGCAAGTCTTGGACTATGTGGTCTTGGCAGAACCAGATTACTCAGGACTGCATCAGTTTCCTGACTCTGCTGGCCATCAGTCTATTGAGTTGAGTTGAGTTGAGTTTATTGGTTTTGTATGCCGCCCACTCCCGAAGGACTCTGGGCGGCTTACAATAAAAGGGGAAGGGGAATAAATAAGACAATCCAGGTCCTCATTTTACCCACCTCGGAAGGATGGAAGGCTGAGTCAACCATGAGCCTGGTGGGATTTGAACCGCCAAACTGCAGCTTAGCAGTCAGCTGAAGTGGCTGCAGTACTGCACTCTACCCACTGTGCCACCTTGGCT